ATATATATATATATATACCAGCAGCACAATCGTTTCCATTTCATGTATGCCACTGCTTAAATGGCGCCTAAGTCAAGCTCTGTCAAACAGCTATCCTCCAGCCGTGACCTATTACATGTGGTATGCGAATGATAGCACCTGACCCTTAAAGACTGTGGTATGTGTCTTTTGACATATCATGTATCCTTATCGACTTATGGTTTAGAACGTTGCCACAGTACGCTTCCGGTGTTTACGATAAAGGAAAACACAGTTTTAATCAAGGTTCTATTTGAAGGGGACGCACCAAGCGAACTTTCATAAGGCAAAGAATCGATCACGTATGCAGCAGCCAACGCATATTTGCTGCATTGAACTGCCTCTATTATGCATGCAGAGCGTGTGCCGGACCATATCCATGTGCATTTTCGTAGCTCCCTAATACTGTCACATGAGACGAAAGTTGGTAAACGAACGTGGCAACAACTTCGAGCATGGTGGGCGAAGAGCTAAATAAAGAAAAAAAGGTATATTCTCATGCAAAGGCTAGACCAAGATACTCAACTCGATGGAAAACAGCGGCTGTCTGATTGGTTTAAGAGTACTCCTTAAACTACTAAGTGAATACCGTCAGTTTAATATGGCAGTTGCAGGTGAATTTAGGTTGCACAAAACAATACTACCTTTCAACTTTAATCACGGGCGGTGGGCTCGGGCGTGATGATTGTTCAGCAATCTGGCCCTCCGGTGTTGAAGAAAGATGAGGCAAGGAAGGCGCTCCTATCCGACCCATCGTATTACAAAAGGCACTCCAATTTACGGACTAGCAAAGTAGCTGTTTCTGCGTCCAAAATTTCTTACCGCTAATTCGAAGTCCACGTTCCGCTCGTCAACAAAATTATTAGAGAAACTTAAAGGGGTAAGTCTCTTGCTAAGTGATATTATGGATTGCTTCGATGTCATGTTCTTTTTTACTTCTATCCCTCAGGATCATGCAATCGAGACCATTGAATTACTCCTACGATACAAATACGATGAAACGGAGTATCGCCTTAGACAGGCCTAAATTCTACATCGCTTAAAATTCTGTCTTGAGACGCACTTCACGTTTGACGGAACAACCTACACGTAGGTGAAGGGAAAAGCGATCTGATCAACCATTTCGCAACTCATAGCCGAGACGGTCGTGCGACGGCTGGAGTCCCTAGTATTCCAACAACACAGACTTGAATTCTGCGCGCGGTATGTGGATGGCACCTTCGTCGTCATTGAACGGGATCAGGTGCTCACGTTCAAGGAACGTTTCAACAGCGTCTTCCCGGACATCCAATTTACGATGGAGAAAGTAGAGAACAAGCGGCTGCCCTTCCTCGATATCATCGTCTGTCGAAAAGATTGTGGTGGTAAAAAGACTAAAGTATTCAGGAAAGCGCAAACACAAAACAAGTACTTAATAACAACAGCAACCACCCAATCAGCCACAAACACACTTGCGTAACGATAATCTATCAGCGTGTTGAGGCGCACTGCAGCGAACAAAAAGATAAAGTTGCCGAGGTAGAATACCGTCGACGCGTGCTCGGAGAGAATGGCTACCGGCGCAGCTTCGTAAACTGGTGCCTGCACAAACGAGATGGCTAACAAAAGCGCACCGATCTCAAGATTTGGCGTTCGATCCCGTACGTCAGAAACGTATCGGAAGCCGTCGGCCACCTTCTCGCACCACTTGGAGTTGGAGTCCCACACAGGCGGGAGGCAACCCTGAGGCGTCAGATAATGAAGCCGAAAGACGCACTTCCACGGCAATAAATATCTGGGGTCGTATACAGGATCTGGTGCATTTAGGGTCAAAGCAACTATGTCCGAGAATCTGGCAGACTTCGGTAGACGCGAAATGCC